TCATTGACTGAACTTGTGCATAATCACTGATGAGGAAGAATGCTTCCATACTTGATCTCCATCTCAGTGGCTTTCAGTATTCTTCTAAGCAAGCCTAGGGAATAGAGAGAAAGAGACTGTGTTGCAATGATTCCCTTTCTTCCGAAGTTGTTAGTAAAGGAGAGATCTGACTCCATATTCCTCCTTTGTAGGATCTCTCAGGATTCTCTCCCCATTCCTGTGTAACCTCAACATAGAGCTGATGGATGAGATCATCTGCCAGAGTTAGGTATCACCAGTATGTATGAATTCATCACAAACGGAATTGGGAGATACTTGGGTCATTTCCTGAATGGATTGCTTCAATATACTCAATACACAGCTGCTCTTGACGGCCACTCAGAAGTTTATACTGGTCCAGAATGCAGTGGCATGGAAAATTATGGAAGCAAGAGTTCCCAGTAGGCTTCCATGTGCAATTCAACGTACTGATTATCAGCTATAAAGCCTTTCATTATTTGCAAGACCGCCCTTCTCCACTTGTTTTTTCTTGACCCACTGGCTTTGGCAGGTTGGGGCATGCTCTGGATGTCATCTATTAAACAGTACCATCTGGCAGGAACCTGGGAGTGAGTTTTTTCTTTCACATTTCCTGCTGGTTATTGGTACACAATAACAATGATATTTGTTTGGCTCTGACCCTGTTTGTATTTTATAAATCCTTGAAGACCTGAATGTTCTCCCAGGCATGAGGCCTATAGATTGGGTGAGCCCATTGTTGTGACTGTCTTTGGCATTACTATAGTTATGTGCTTTTATTGATCATTCTTGAGTGCTGCTGTGTTATTACTGATCATATTATTGTTATTCATTATTTTAGCTTGGAGTTTTGATTCCTATGTTCATTGCCCAGAGTCATGATTCCGAGGTAGGTAGCTCTATAAATTGATAGAATAATCCTTTGCAAATGCAATTTGATCACAATCTGCCCATTTTTAATCTCTCTGACACTGTTGAACATACACAACAATTAATAGACCAGAATAGGACCAGGAAATGCAAAAAGGGGAAGAGATATAGTTTACAAGGAAAAAAAATACAAATAATGCTTACAATTATTTATATGATCTTACTTATAGATAAATGAAACAGGATAGAAACCCAGTAACAAAAGTAACTAAAATTCTAAAATGTGTAAATAAAGTTAAAGACTGAAATGCTGTAAAAAGAAAGAAGGGATGGGATGATAAGAAAGGGAATGTAATGGAAAATTCAGTTAGCATTGGAGGTTCAGGTAAGAATGGGAATCCGAATGATTAAAAATTAAATTTAATAGTCATAGAAAATTCTGAAACACACAAACATACAAAAAGAGATCCTGTGAAAGAATGAAGTGTCCGTATGTGGAGAATTCTGAATCAGTGACAGGATAGTTAAGATACAATTGTCCCAACTCAGCTGATTTAGAAAACAATGTGTATTTCCTTAATCAAGTTGTACTAAAACACTAACTATAATACTAAAAAAATGTAGAAGAAGAATGTTTTAGGCATTGAAAAAAGCAGGGCATCAGTGCAAGGCAGACCTCCATAAATAAATTATTTCATTAATAAGTCACAATTAAGAAAGCAACTCTATTTGTCCAACTTATTTGTCCATTCATAAGAGGGCCTCCAAAAAGATAAAATATGCTACAGTTCTTACAAACGACATCATTTTTAGAATGTCCCATTTTCATATTTCTTGTTCTGATGTTCTTTAAAAAAACTATTGCTACTATATAAACCTAGTCACCTAATTATCTTTTCTTTCATCAAATAACATTCAACAGAAACATACTTTACAATGCTATATTGTATGATGAACCTAAGACGAACGTAATAAGACTCCTTTCAACAATATACTATTCTCAGAAATCCTTTAAGATGTAGTAGATTAACAGCGTCAAACTTATAATGACACCTTGTCATCATGTGACATATCGCAACCGTTTCCCCCTTCACAAACCCAAGGGTGGATGTGGCCAGCGTGTGATGCATCTGACTCACCGGCAGCAAGTTTCATACACCTGATGTAGACACTTCCATATGCTTTTAGGATGTCAGTCCCAAATGGAATGCATCCAAGTGTTCTTACTGCCTCATCTATCTTACATTATTGGTAATAAGGTTCCTGGTTTGATTAATTTTCCCTAAGCAAAAGATTACAGATTTCCTGTTATACAAAAAACTATGTACAATCCCCCCCCCCCCCCCCAAAAAAAAGCCATGCAAATATTCTACAAGATGAGAAAGTGTGACAAATAGTCAAATTTTAAGCTGGTGTAAAAAAATACCACCACCCATAGAACAGCATTCCATAAACAAGATGCTGTAGGTAGGAAAGCCCTTTCCCGTATTTATACCTCACATGACATTTTGATGCTATGGTGGGAGGTGATGTTTTCTTTGTAGTGTGGAAGTACTGATTTATTTTTGTCTTTTTATTGGCTGTCATTGTGAGCCACTAAGATAATTTTATATAATATTGGTGGCTATACAGTAAAAGTTCAATAAATAAATAAAACATACAAGCCTACCTAAATCGTGTCCTCAAATCCTTAGGTCCTAAACAATTTGGGTATGAAATAACATTACATCACTTTGAATGTGGATTGAGAGTACACTATAAATCAGTGCAGTAAATAAGTATTTACAGCTATATTTTATTAAATTATTTCATAATGGTTAAAGTAAATCTTAAATAGAATTTGCACAATGAACCTTCTTGGGCTTGCTCTTTCTTGCAAGAGCTGCTGTTGGGGATCATCAGGTTGTCTAGAATGGACTAGGATGAGGTACAGGAAGAGGCAACCAGATGGGGGGAGTCTGATGCATTTGGTAGGGAATGGCTGCAAAAGCAGAAACACTTTCCCACTGTTTACAAGTATCACTGAATTGAAGCCACCATCAATATTCTGGTATGAACTAGAAGTATAATTTTTGAACTATTATAATCTATGATCTTATTAATCATTATCTTTGATTCACATTTATTTTTCTTTTACTAAATTCATCATTAAAAAAGTAGTTGATAAATCCATGCACCTTTTCAAATTCTAGCAAGTCACATCATACTCTTTAATCTGTGCAGTAAGATTTTTTTTTGCCAATAAATATATCATTTTAGTATACTTGGGTTCTTAATTAAACTGAGTCACTACTGATCAAAGAAGTCTTTTATAGAACAAGATCAATATTTTGCTTAAGACTTGTGTATGCAACTTGTATTTTAATAATATTCAGCAATCCTGAGCCTACAGCACATAATATTTCTGATCTACGCCAACCCATCCTGGAACTACTCCACACTTCATTGGTACCTCCATAGATTTGTGCCTATCCAACGTGCATTTAGTAGGCATGCTATAGGAATAAAATGTAAATACATCTGCTTTTGTCTATTTTTTAATTATTGCACATTAATAATTTCAATTCATTTTCCCCCAAACTAAAAATGTGCTTTTCATTATTACTGTTAAGTTTCTGCCTTTAGGTTCCCAGTCTGTGATATAATGAATGAATATTTGTTTTCTTATATTTTATTAATTAAATTGCAATTAAATTGAGACAACATAGTATGGTAAACTATGGTTTATCACAGTAGCTAGGTTCATACTACATAATATACTAAAACCAAACAAGTCTTGCTACTGCATAGGCCGATGATGGCGAACCTATGGCACGCATGCCACAGGTGGCACACAGAGCCATGAGTCGCAGGCAAACTTACCTCATTGCGCATGCGTGCACCTCACAGCTGATTTTTGGCTGGTTTGAGGCCTTTTTTGACTTCTCAGAGGCTTGAAAAAAGCCTCTGCAGGCTTTGCAGGCCAAATATAGGCCTGTTTTGTCACTTCTTGTAATACCGGAAGTGATGAAATGGGCCTATTATTCGGCCTGCAAAGCCTGCAGAAGCTTTTTTCAAACCTCTGGGAGGCCTCAAACCAGCCGAAAATCAGCTGTGAGGCACAGTGCAGATAAGGGGGCAGCGGGGGGAGGGGATTGCACACGCATGCACAGGGGGTGTGGGGGAACACATTGCCTTCTGGGTGCTGGCATGTGAGCCCAAAAAGATTAGCCACCACTGGCATAGGCTGATGTGTGAATTCAGAAAATATACAATTGCTGTTAGTAACTTTTCAGAAGTTTTAGAAGACTCTATAATAGTGTAAGGTAAAAACCAGAAAGCCACAGCAAAGTACTAGGTAGCCTCAAATGTATGTCAAACTAATTGTTCTTTGATCATATAAAAATGAAATTATCTTATTTGACTATGCATAATGTCCTAAAACTAGGCAAACATTTCTCTGCACATTAAGACCCAAGCAACTCAAAAAAAGTTTCACATATCTCTGTAATATGCAATACCATAAATTTCTCTCTTACTTTTTTAAATACCATTTAAAAAACTGCACTAGCATAGTTATATTTCTCCAAGAGCATTCTAATTACATTTTTATTATGGGCATTACATCTTTGAGTTGCACATGGTGTAATTATACTGAATATATTCATAAGACAAAAGTCAGCCACACTAGACAAACCAAATAACACAATATGCTATTGAATGTTTCCTTTTGAATCTTTCAGCCATAAGCTACAATCCAGGTGACATGTAACTTTTCATTTTTAACATTACATGTAATTCTCTAAATTCTTGGATTCTATTAATCCCATGAAGAGAAAGTGCTATTTCAAGCACCTAAGCTATGTACATAAAGAATCTAATTTGCTGTTACTGTACATAAGCAGGACCACGTGCAAAATGTTGCCGTTTAAGTGGTTCCTGTTCAACATTTCAGCTAGGTCTTTCCTCCTCTATAATGTTCCATTCAATTTCCCTTCACTTATCTCTTTTCTGGAAAAGCATCAACTACCCTCCCCCAAATCCTACTTTTATCCAGTTGTAGTAAATGGTATTGCACAATGTCAATGTAGGCTGCTATCATCAATAAATATATTTCATATTAAAATACTTACCGGAAAGGACCCATTCTATTAGTTGAATGAGGATGTCCCCACATTTTGTTCCAACAGACACTAGATAGCAAATTCTGAAGAATCTATGGAATAGAAGAGTAACAAGAACAAAACATAATTATCCTAAGTAAGCTATCTAAATCAGCAGGCATATTAGCTGATCAATCTATTTAAATCTTTCATATTTTCTTGAAACACTCAGCTAAAAGTAATTCTGAGAGTTTATTTCAAATAATAAGATTAATTCAGAGTTTCTAGGGTTCCATCTAGTTCACCACTACATACTATTCAAAGTGACCAGAGAAAAGTTTGAATTGATTCCAAAGAATTCTCATGTACCAGTTACATTATATTTTACCTTATTCAGAATGTTCTAATTAAAAGATATAAAAGTCCTTGGTGTTCTCTTAGCATGATTGTTTGCAGACATTTTATTACCTGACTAGGTAATATCATCAGTGCTTGTGATTGTGTGGTTTGTGCCTGTTTATATAGAGTAGGTTTGGAGGGGTCAGGGTTAG